CTCACTTTATCCCACAACTTGTCCCCTTCCACTCTGCCCTCGCCATCATGACTGCCATCCAGCTTAATGGTCCCCTGCAATCTTAGGGCCAAATTAGATATGAGGGGCAGTCACATGGAACACAAGTTTCCCCATTCATAGACAGAGACAAGAGAGTGGAGGGGACCCAAACTTTGCACAAAATGGAGCATTGGAGAGTGTTGCCTTATGTCAGTTGGCACTGCAGCCTTCCCCCCCTCCCCCCTCCCATCCAATTCATTTCCAATTCTGGGCAGCACAGTTTTAGAAGGATATTGGCAAATGAAAAACTGGGCAGAAGAGAGCAACCAAGATGATGACGGGTCTGGAAACCAGCAAGTATTATTAGTATTAGTATTAGTATTAGTATTAGTAGTATTTATATCCTGCCTTTCTGCCAAGATCAGGATTCAAGGTGGCTTGCACCATTTGAATGCAACATTCACCAAAATGACACATAAATGGCCACCATGATTCGAACTCAGCTCTCCCCGGTCCTAGCCTAGCACTCTTAGTAACTCCTCTGTGTTGCTTCCGCATGTTAGCCAAACTCAGAAACATCAGTTCCTTCAAAATGTAAAACTCTGGGACACTCTGGACTCTTAACTCTGAGCCATTAATAATAATAATAATAATAATAATAATAATAATAATAATAATAATACAAGCCTATTCAAACTGGGCCAAGAAGGATCTCCAGCTGCCCCCTAAAATTCTGTTTGGAGGCAAGATCTGACGGTTGTGATGTATGACTCATTCTCCGCAAGGGAGAGGGAAAGGATGAGTTTGACAGAGAACACACGTGCGTTTTAGATCTTCAAATGCTCAAAGTGTACAAATGGAAATTGATTCCGGAACAACAAAAAGCAACCACCACCCACCCAGCCTAGAGCTGTTTCTGACCTATGGGGTAGGTTGGTGGTCTCTGAATTTCAAACTCAATCGATTTGCTCTCTTGTGGAAAAAAGTGATATCTGCTTGCGGAGATAGAGGATTGTCGCTGTTGTTATTACACTTTTCCTCCAAGGAGCTTGAGGTGGCATGTGAGTGGTTCTCTCCCTCCTCAGTTAATCCTAACAACATCCCTGTGAGGTAGGCTAGACTGGGAGGCAATGATGGGACTGAGGTGAGCTTCATGACTGAGTCAGGATTTGAACTCAAGTCCTGGTCCAACACTCTCACCACTGCTCCACCCTGCTCTATATAATTTTCCAAATCCAGGGTGGGATCCCGCTAACTCCTCCTAGTGCAATGGGGCTTTCTCCCCCTCTTCACCCACAGCACGTCCCTGAGTCCCCAAAATTGGCCCAGAACCCCCCAAACAGCACATGGGGCTTGTTCCATCCAGCAAAATGAAAAACTGGTACAGTCATACCTTGGGTTGTGAACGTGATCCGTGCGACATGATTCGGCGCTTCTGTGCATGCGCAAAGCGTGATTTAGTGGGTTTGCGCATGCGCGAGCGCCAATACCCAGAAGTAACCCGTTCCTGCACTTCCGGGTTTGGCGCAGTCTGTAACCCGAAAACGTGCAACCCGCCGCGTTCGCAACCCGAGGTATGACTGCACTGATTTGATGGTTGCCATAGTGCGATGTTGATTTTCCCCTCTAAACTATTTTATTCCTTTTAAAGAAAGGTGAGCAGAACTCACACGCCCGATTGTCTGTCGAGGAGGCCGTTTCAGATCTCAGCACTTATTTATTTACATTTTTATTCCACCCTTTCCCCAAGGTGGCCCTCACCATGGGTGGGGGAAACTGTGGCCCCTCAGAGCTCGTTGGACTTCCTCTCCAATCACTACCAGCCAAGATTGCCAGCGTTCACGGATGATGGGAGTTGTAGTCTGGTGACCTCTGGAGGGTCGCAGGTTCCCCATCCCTGCTCTCACACTTCTCCCTCCACAGATTTCATCTTCAAAAAATTTGAATTATTTTTAAAATTCCACCTCCCTCAAAACAAAACAACAAAAACAAAAACTGTGCATTTTTATGTACACTTTCTCCAGTTTTTTGGCTGGAGAGCTTGCACTGCAAAATTTGGGGAAGTGCCAATTTTGAAGAATGCCAGTGTCTATGGTTTGCATCTTGTTAATTTTGTGTGAATTAGGTAATTCCGTCTTTAAATGCTATCTGAACTGCATTTATCCCCCGTTCCTTCACAGGCCTAGTTCTCAGTGAGACGACACCCTGTGCCTGGGCTGTCTCACTGCAAGTGGAAACTCAGGTGGCTAAATTCTCCTCCTTAGCAATAATTAAATAAACAAATCCCTGCATGTAGAAATCTAGCACATCAGGGGTTTCTGTCTTGAAGAAACATCTAGTGTGCATCCTAATTCAGACGGCAGCTTGGTGTTCATACAAAAGTCTTATTGGGAGAGGATTGGCGTGTTTGTGTGTCACTCTGCTCCTGATCCAGTAAACAGATGCGTGGGCCTGTAGCCCAATCAGAACACTCGCCAGGCTAGGCAGAGGAGGAGCTTCTATCTCCCTGGCAACCATCCTCCACAGCTTGGCCCTGTGACCTCACACTTTCAACACCGCGACTCTGCTGGGGTGTTCTCATCCAATACAGAGACCCCCATTTATTTATATTTTTTGCAAGAGATGGAAACTCCAGAGGTGAATTATGGGGTGGGAATTATGGGACTGGAGAATGAGCACATTTGCAATAACCACAACATGCCATTAGAACAAAAGGAAAGTGGAATTTGTATTTGAGCCAATCAACAGAATGAGACAATGAATAGAGGTGATAGACTCTGAACTGTTCTGCTTCAGGTGTGGAGTCCTCTCCCCCCCCCCAAAAAAAACCCCAATCTCTCTGCAGGTAGCGAAATGAGGACACAGAAGGAGAGCAGACGAAGTAGCCGTGATCTGCTCCTTTGCCGCTTCGTACGCAGAACATCTTTGCAAAAGGAAGGATACAAAACGAAGGAACGCCCCCCCCCAAAAAATCTGAAGCCACCCAAAATCTGAATCGGTACTGTCCTGAATTCTGCCACCCAACTTTACCTTCTCATCCCATGTAATGTAGAAGCAGTGCTTTTCTTTTTAGGAAATCATAAAAGTGCCGGTACTCAACATGAAGTTGTTACAGTAAGGGCCACATTTTTAACATGGGGGGGGGGGAAGAAAGGTGCCGGTACTGTGTGCCCTTGAGTACCCCCAGGGGAAAAAACCCCCACTGTGATATAAGTCTCTGCTCAGGGCAGGAGAAACAAGTTTGCTCTTACCTGCATAGTGGTCAAACACTGTAGGAACGTATTCTTCCGGAAAAGCATCGTTGGCATAGCTCATCAGCAGACAGGTCTTGCCCACGGCTCCATCCCCGACCACCACACATTTAAGCATCTTCTTCACGCTGCCATCCATGTGTTCTCCCTCTTTGCTGCTCATTCTGGCTGTTTGTTTTTATCTACCTGCCCGCTTCCCCCAGAATCTCAGGCATACATGGAAGCAGCGAGGTCCCTGCTCCCAAAAAGCCTTCTTTCCTGAGTTAGTTTCTGTAGTCCTTCTCCCCCCTTTTGTTTTCTTTTTGAAGTACTGGGCCTTCACGAAATCATAATGCCGAATCCCCAAGCTTGTCCCAGCCCGAACTTTCTCAAGCCGAGAAGAAAACCACGCGGGGGAAAAAATAAATAAGACAATAATAGGGGCACGAGCGTGTTGGGAGCCCGAGTCAGGAAACCTTCATCTTGGATGCAGAAAGACTTTGGTTAAAAATAGACGCCGTCTGAGGAAGAGAGTGCCTCCTTCTCTTCGCTGCTCCGGCCTGAAAAATCTGGGATTTGTGCTAAGCCCACCCCACTGGCCATCGCATTCCCAAGCGGAGAAGGGAAGCTGGAAGGGTTTAATGGACGGTTTTCATTTTCACGCAACCCCTTTATTTTCCCCAGCTTGCTGTATGTCAGGAAATCATGGGTTTCCTGCCGAATTCCATATTAGGATGAGTGGGGCTCGTGAAGGGCTGCGAACAATAGGAGCTCTGTGTGTTTGTACTTTGCAGGAACTCTGCCAGGATGTGGAGGAAGAAAAGCGCTAGAGGTCTCAGCACAGGATGAAGTTCGGAGGCCTCCTGCTCTGGGGAGACTGGCCTGAACGCTGCCACGACTCCAGAGGTGACATCGTAAAAAGGCAGTTCTGTAACTCGGGGGGGCAGGGGGCTTTCGGCTCTGTGCCCCCTCGCAAGGAGTCGTCAGCAGCGGCAGGCAAATATAAAAGGATCATCTGGGATAGAGATCTACATACAGATGATGCCAAAGGAGTTAGCCTTGGGCTGACCCCTCCATGCGAGGCACAACTGATAGCATCTGGGACAAGTTAAGAAAGGTCATGGTCCTTTAAGGGCACCACTTCTGGCATTTCAAATCAGATAGACTGCTTCTGTTTAGACGCAGGAGTGCAAGTATTGGCTGCCCAACCAGAATCTGCTGGCTAGATAGGACCCAACTGGGTTTTCTCCTTCTCCCTAACAGGCATTACTATTGGCCGAATGTGCTCTGCTGTGTTAGGCTGCAGGCGCAGAGGCTGGCAGAAGCTGCCATGGTGCCCTCACCAGCCTCTGAAGAAGCTGGCATTTGCTTGTTGCTGACCATCTTGAAACCATGGTGGGGTGGCTGAAGCAGTGGGAAATTGGGGTTCGAATCCCCAGTCATCTATGAAGCCCATTGGATAACTTTAGGCCTGTCACTCTCTCTTGGCCCTAACCTACCTCATAGGGTTGTGGTGAGGATAAAATGGGGAGAATAATAATGATACTAATACTAATACTAATAATAATAATAATAATAATTTCATTCTGAAGGAAATCAGCCCTGAGTGCTCACTGGAAGGACAGATCCTGAAGCTGAGGCTCCTCATGAGAAGAGAAGACTCCCTGGAAAAGACCCTGATGTTGGGAAAGATGGAGGGATCATAGAATCGGAGAGCTGGAAGGGACCATGAGGGCATCTAGTCCAACCCCCTGCAATGCAGGAATCTTTTGCCTGACATGGGGCTTGAACCCACAACCCTGAGATTATGAGTCTCCTGCTCTACCAACTGAGCTATCCCAGGTATTATTGACGGTTGTGTTTTGTTTCCCTGCCTATAGAATTATTGTTGTTGTTGTTTAGTTATTTAGTTGTTTAGACGTGTCCGACTCTTCGTGACCCCATGGAACAGAGCACGCCAGGCACTCCTGTCTTCCACTGCCTCCCACAGTTTAGTCAAACTCATGCTGGTAGCTTCGAGAACACTGTCCAACCATCTCGTCCTCTGTCGTCCCCTTCTCCTTGTGCCCTCCATCTTTCCCAACATCAGGGTCTTTTCCAGGAGTCTTCTCTTCTCATGAGGTGGCCAAAGTATTGGAGCCTCAGCTTCAGGACCTGTCCTTCCAGTGAGCACTCAGGGCTGATTTCCTTCAGAATGGAGAGGTTTGATCTTCTTGCAGTCCATGGGGCTCTCAAGAGTCTCCTCCAGCACCATAATTCAAAAGCATCAATTCTTTGGCGACCAGCCTTCTTTATGGTCCAGCTCTTACTTCCATACATCATTACATCCACTCCATGGACAAAGACAACAGACCAAGGGGTACATATTGATATAGGAATGTGTTAGATAAAATGTAAAGAAATATACAATAATAAGAGTACAGTCATACCTCGGGTTACAGCCGCTTCAGGTTGCATTTTTTTGGGTTACGCACCCGCCGAAACCTTGAACGGGTTACTTCCGGGTTTGGGTGGTCGCGCATGCGCAGAAGCACTAAATTGCAATCTGCGCATGCGCAGACACGCCGCTGCAGGTTGCGAAGGTGCATGCTGCACGGATCACATTCGCAACCCGAGCGTCCACTGTACATTAATTTGTAAAAAAGGAATATACAATGGGACAGACAGGAAGTATATGATTTTGGAATAGTTTTTTGTTCTTGTTTTTCCCCCCTTTAGGTATATAAACTTTGTGTATAAACTTTGTATACATGCTGAAAATTATACTATAATAAGCCTTGTAGTGTAATATGATACAGTGGTGCCTCGCAAGACGAAAAGAATCCGTTCCGCGAGTCTCTTCGTCTTGCGGGTTTTTTCGTCTTGCGAAGCAAGCCCATTAGCGGTTTAGCGGATTAGCGCTACAGTATTAGCGGCTTAGCGGGCTTAGCGGATCAGCTGATAAGCGGCTTAGCGATCAGCTGTTAAGCGGCTTAAAGATCAGCTGATAAGGGCTTAACGATCAGCTGATAAGCGGCTTAACGATCAGCTGATAAGCGGCTTAGCGATCAGCTGTTAAGCGGCTTAGCCGATCAGCTGATAAGCGGTTTAGCGGCTTGGGAAAAAGGGGGGGGGAAAGGGACAAAACCCCGCAGGAACTCGCAAGACATTTTCGTCTTGTGAAGCAAGCACATAGGAAATTCGTTTTGCGAAGCACCTCCAAAATGGAAAACCCTTTCGTCTAGCGGGTTTTCCGTCTTGCGAGGCATTCGTCTTGCGGGGCACCACTGTAATGTTTACCGATGTAACATAAGAACGTTAATAAATAAATAAAACTTAAAAAATAAAATAAAACTCAAGAGAAGTGAAGGGGGTCAGAAATGTTGAGAGTCAATTAGGGATTTTTGGAATGCAGGGTGAGGAATTGACTTTCTTGAGCCCCAAGCAGCCTATGGCATTCAGAGTGGAAGGAATGGCTGGCTAGATGGAGCACTCTTGTTAGAGAGTGAGGATATACGGGCACATTTCTTTTGCAGCTCCCACTTGTTATAAACCAGGTGCAGGGAGCCTGGAGAAGGCATCCGTGTGTTGCTAGACTCCAACTCCCATCATCCTCTGCTCTTGCCAAGCTGGCTGGGGCTGTTGGGAAATGGAGTCCAACTTTATCTAGAGGACCACCCCCCTCCCTCGCCCGTTCCACACCCCTGTTATAAATAGTGAAATGGGCCTAAAAGGGATGGATGCCAAAGACACAAGTCCCATTAATAAAATTCTGTCCGTGCGCGTGAATGTTTGACCTGCGCTAACAATGTTGCTATTCTTATTGCTATCCAGGCAGAAAGAAAATAGCCTCAACGAACGTTCTTAAAATACGCTGCTTTCTTCTGCAGTTTAATCTTGGCTATATCCAGGCTTGAGCCTTTGAGCTTTGCTGCTAATCTGTCCACCCACCCACAAAGAAATCTCTGTGCTTTCCTCTTCTGCTGGAATCTGAAATTCCTCCCCCCCCCATCAGTCCTACACCAAGTCTTAAAGTCAAAAGTGACTGGGTTGTGCTGTAGCACCCGCCCCCCCAGTGGGTGAGACCTGCACCCCCAATAGCAGTCTCTTTCCCTCCTCCCACACTTTAAAGCACGACCTGAATATTGTTTTTCAAAGGGCACAGCTGCACCAAAGCCTTCCTTTTGCAGGGGAACTGCAGCTCTCATAGCAAGCTTGGGTTAAAGTATCGCGCGCACCCCAAAACTACAGTTCCCAGGATTCTTTTTTGGGGGGTTGGGGGTAGCCACATGGCAATTAAACCATTTGCAGTTGAGCTGTGCCCCAATCTTGAACACTTTGTGACGCGGCAGCTAAAAAAGCCAATGCAATTCTGGGCTGCATCAATAGGAGTATAGCATCTAGATCAAGGGAAGTAATAGTGCCACTGTATTCTGCTCTGGTCAGACCTCACCTGGAGTACTGTGTCCAGTTCTGGGCACCACAGTTCAAGAAGGACACTGACAAACTGGAACATGTCCAGAGGAGGGCAACCAAAATGGTCAAAGGCCTGGAAACGATGCCTTATGAGGAACAGCTAAGGGAGCTAGGCATGTTTAGCCTGGAGAAGAGGAGGTTAAGGGGTGATATGATAGCCATGTTCAAATATATAAAAGGATGTCACATAGAGGAGGGAGAAAGGTTGTTTTCTGCTGCTCCAGAGAAGCGGACACGGAGCAATGGATCCAAACTACAAGAAAGAAGATTCCACCTAAACATTAGGAAGAACTTCCTGACAGTAAGAGCTGTTCGACAGTGGAATTTGCTGCCAAGGAGTGTGGTGGAGTCTCCTTCTTTGGAGGTCTTTAAGCAGAGGCTTGACAACCATATGTCATGAGTGCTCTGATGGTGTTTCCTGCTTGGCAGGGGGTTGGACTCGATGGCCCTTGTGGTCTCTTCCAACTCTATGATTCTATGATTCTATGATTCTATGACTTTTAGACTTTTCAATTCAGGTGATCCTTTTCCAGTCTAGGCTCCACCCCTGATGTGCAGCTGATCTCTTAGCGGTGATAAGATCTGCGCTGGTTTAGGAGCTGATGGGAATTGTAGTTCCAAACATCTGGAGGATGTCATGTTGGCAAAGGCGGTATATGGGACATTTATGCAAGTACACCTTCTGCATCCCTGTTGAAACATGGTGGAGGACGGTGTGCATCCTAAAACACCTTCATCAGTCAGCAGTGCATGAGACTCTTAATTTCAGGGTTGTGGGTTTGAGCACCACGTTGGGCAAAAGATTCCTGGGCTGCAGGGGGTTGGAGTAGATAACCCACATGGTCCCTTCCAACGCTACAGTTCCATGATTCTATGAATGCTTTGGTCATTATCTGAATGCATGTAAAATAATAATAATAATAATAATAATAATAATAATAATACTCATACTCTGCCTTTCTGGCCGGGCCTCCCTAGCCACTCTGGGTGGCTCCCAACATAATATTAAAAAGAAAATCAAATATTAAAAACTTCCCTAAACAGGGTTGTTTTCAGATGTCTTCTAAAAGTCAGATAGTGGTTTATTGCCTTGACATCTGATGGGAGGGCGTTCCACAGGGCGGGTGCCACTACCGAGAAGACCCTCTGCCTGGTTCCCTGTAACTTCATATCTCACAGTGAGGGAACCACCAGAAGGCCCTCAGCACTGGACCTCAGTGTCCGGGTTGAACAATGGGGGTGGAGACGCTCCTTCAGGTATACTGGGCTTTAAGGGTCAGCAGCAACACTTTGAATTGGGCTCGGAAACATACTGGGAGACAATGTAGGTCTTTCAAGACCGGTCTTATGTGGTCTCGGCAGCCGCTCCCAGTCACCAGTCTAGCTGCCGCATTCTGGATTAGTTGTAGTTTCCGGGTGACTTTCAAAGGTGGCCCCACATAGAGCGCATTGCAGTAGTCCAAGCGGGAGATAACTAGAGCATGCACCACTCTGGCGAGACAGTCCACGGGCAGTAGGGTCTCAGCCTGCGTATCAGATGGAGCTGGTAGACTGCTGCCCTAGACACAGAATTGACCTGCGCCTGCATGGACAGCTGTGAGTCCAGAATGACTTCCAGGCTGCGGACCTTCACCGCCTTCACTGGTCCTGATTTGAAAAAGAGTTAGAGAGCTGGGTATCATCCACATACTGATGAACACCCAGCCCAACCCCCCTGATAATCTCTCCCAGCGGCTTCATGTAGATGTTGAAAAGCATGGGGGAGAGGACGGAACCCTGAGGCACCCCACAAGTGAGGGCCCAGGGGTCTGAACACTCATCCCCCAACACCACTTTCTGAACACGGCCCAGGAGGAAGGAGCGGAACCACTGTATAACAGTGCCCCCTGTGCCCCCTTGCATCTTGCATTTCAACTGGAGTTCTTCCTCTTTGTGAAGTTTCTCTACTTCAAACTATCCCTCCCAAACTGTATCTGCAGTGCGCTGTTCCATCCTGACTCCTGAACTCGGTTCCTCCATCTCCAAAATTGTGGGGAAAACATTGCACTGTGGTGAAACATTCTGATGACTTATTTTCTCAAGGCTCCCGTCATCATTTTTACAAGGGAATGGGAGAGAGAGAGGGAAAAAAATCTCTCTTAAAACTCCATCCACTGGCAAACAATGCTCCTTAGTCATCAAGAATCTCTGTGTCACCAGGATCGACGTGCCTGTTCTTGGGTAATCTGCCTACGCGTGATCTGAGGAACATTCTTCAAACAAGCCAGAATCCTTCCGCTGTAGGCCAGAGAAGGCTTTTGTCACAACACAACCGGGGTCTCTCAAAGGAAGGTTAATCCCCAATCCGTCAGGACCCCAGAGTCCAGGAGACAGCAGGAAGGATGGCGCA